AATATGATAAATATATTAAAAATTCAATTTAATATAAAGGTATCAAATGAAATAATAAAAACTCACCATTAATTGAGGAGGCGTGATTTTTTTAGGGGTAGAGGTAGTGATGTTGGGCTTGATGATTTTTTTAGTAATGGAGGTAATGGTGTTGGGCTTAATGTTGGGCTTCTTGGTAATAGCGGTGGAGATGGTGGTGGATTTGACGAGTATGGAGATGGTGATAGATTTGACGAGTGTGGAAATGGTGGTAGACTTAGCTGGTATGGGTCTGACGGGTGTGGAGATGGTAGTAGTATCATCGACAGCAACAGGCATCAATTTATTATTGGAAAACAAATTGATATTTTTGATACGGGTCTTTTTTGGTAGAACTACTCCTATATTATCTTCAGATGCTTTATTATTATTGTAACTATTGATTAGTGCGTTTGTTAAAATTTAATAAAATAAAGTAGAATTGTTTTATACTATCTTCTGATATCTAGAGAAATATAATATATAGATGTAAGTAAATTTAAATAAACGTATATAAAATCAATAACGAATATAATTACATCTTTATTCAAATGTTTGATCTTCTGACTTGTAGACGTTTTAAAGAGGATGTATCAATAGTAAATCTGTCTTGGCTGCCACTCATTTTTGGGTTATTGCTTGAAAATTGAAAATTATATTTTTCTAGTAAAGGATGATATGAAGAATAAGCTATTCATTCTCGTTTTCGTTTTTTTTTATTAATTTTAAAAATGTAATACATTACATAAAACATTGATAAATACATCATCATACCTCTATAGAAATTGCATCAATAAACGTATAACTTATATTATCGTTGATAAACGCTTGAATTCAGTTCTGAATTTAGTTCATATCATGTCATCATAAAAGTCAGAAACTACATTAATAAATGTAAAATTAAAAAATTATGCGAAATTAAAAATTTCATTAATAAACATATTAATATATTATCATCGCAAAAATCATATTTCATGTTATAATACAGAATACTAAATATGATTTCATATTTTTTTATATTCTATTATTACTCGACATCATTTTTATAATTGTTGATGGCTTAACAATGATCATTGTTTATTTGACGTCACTTTCACCATTGTTACTTGATGCAGCTAATTAAATAAAAAAAATGAAAATTTTATTCATTCTTGATACTAAATATTTTACCTCTTTAAATATAAATCATTTACAAAAATGCAACACACATGTCCACAATGCGAAAGAACTTTCTCTCATCGTTCTTCTTTAAGAAACCACATAAAAACTCATGATAGTTTAATTGATAGAATTTTAGATGAAATCATTGAAGAAAATATACGACAAGTAAATAAAGAAGAGATACAAAATAACCTAATAGAAAGTGATGATGTGATGAACTACAAAGACCAAATTGTTGAAGATAAAGAAGAAGAGGAGAGAGAAGAAGAGTTATTTAACCCTGATGAAGATTTGATTAATATTTAAGAAGAGAATGAAGATGATGTAGAAGAATATATAGAAGAAGAGTTAGTTAGCTACTATGAAGACGTTGAAGAAGAGGAGGAAGAAGATAAAGAAGAAGGGGAAGAAAAAGATTTGATTGACGATGTTCAAGTAAGATTCTCATTAATTAAACTACTTTATAGTATAAATAACAATAGTACAAAAAATTTGATGCATGTATTAACGCCATTTATTTAATATTTAGTTAGTACAAAATAGTTTGATGATCAACGTCATTATTTAAACTAACAATTAATATTTTACTGTATTTAATATAAAAAGCATATGTTAATTAACATTGAACCTACACCAGTCTTTAAGTCTTTTCACATTAGTAGTTCAACAACAAATAGGTCTAAGTTACCGAGTGAAGAGTTTGGAGATTTTATGAAATTGCTTACAAAGTGGAATTTATGTGATACATGTGGAAGTGATATACTTAAATTTTCGTGTAAAATTTGCCGAGATGATGTAAGATTACCCACTTCTGTTAAGCAAGGCCATCGATTAATAGATCAAATAAATGTATCACATATCTTCTTTAAAAAAACGCCTATAATTACATATGAGGAAACAACATACTACCTTAATTACCGTCAAATTTTTGATGCTGTAAAGGAACTGTTAAGCAACCAGGAAATATATGACAATTGTACCTTTAAATTTATATCATTATATTATAACGGGTAGAGAATTTACCATAAGCAATATAATGGAAAATAGTGGGAAAGAGTACAAGGGTTGCTTTCTGAAGAAGTAAAGGTTTTGTCTATCATCCTGTATTCTGATGTGACAACTTGCGACCATTTAGGCAAGTCTAGTGAGCATCCAATTTTTTTGACGTTGGACAATATAATTAGTTGGCATAGAAATAAACCTGATACCAAAGTTCTATTGGGTTATCTTTCAATTTTGAAGGCAAAATCTATCTCTCAAAAAAGATCTAAAGGCTTTAAATTAGCAAAGTGTACTCTTTACCAATACGCTTTAGATATATTAATACATCCATTGCTTGATTATAAAACCATGGATTTGATCTTCAAATAGATAATGATGAACTATGGTATTATCCATTTATTTCTGTAATGCTAGGAAATTTTCCAGAAAATGCTGCGGTGACTTTAATATTTAGCTCTGTTAATTGTAAACACCCATGTTATAAGTATTTAGTAGAAGGTGATAAATTAAATAATGTAAAGTTATCAGACGACCAAATTATTTTGAGGATACCGGATACTATGAAAGATTTTGTCGAACAAGATGTTGCGCAGCAGTATTCTTTACATAATATGGAGAATATTTTTTGGAAATACCCGTAAGTATAACTGTATAATATTAGATTGCAGTAAATTATGCGTCAAGTTACACAGTATATTTAAACGTATTATTCTTTATACTTAGTCAATTAAATATTTACGCGGCAACAATTCCTGATCGTATGCATCACCTTGACTTAGGGTTGTTCAACTACCAAGTGACCTATACTAGAGAACTACTAAAAGAATTGTGTGATCAAATAGCGGTTGATGAACTTGACAACTGACTAGCTAGAATTCCAAGATTTCCTGGCCTCAAAATATTCAAGAATGGTCTTAAAAACATCAAGCGATTTACAGCTGATGAGTTCCGTAATATGATGAAGGTATTTATTTTCGTCATTGAAGGGATCATCATAAAACACCACAAAGAAACAATAACTGCAAATCGTGCCAAACGAGCAGATGAAGCATTAGTTGATGTATATTATCATTAGTATAAGATGTATTTATACAGCCATTAAGAGTATTTTTTAGAATCAGAACTGGACAACTTTAAGGTATTATGATTAGCATTTATATATTATGTACCGTATATTCAGGATTAACGCTTTTATTTTATTATAGAATCTGGTTACAAATTGGGCAATATTATTTGTAAAGCTATTTCAAAAATATTCACTGTCGAAACTCAAGTTGCCAAAGTTATATAATTGGCGCTACCATATTATTTTATCAATTGAAGAATATGGTGCCATTAACGGGTTTATAATGGAGACGTACAAAACTTTACATAAAGATGCCGTTAAAAAACCCTATAGAGCTAGCAATAAGTGCTAACCAACGGACCAGATGATTAAAACAGTTAGTTTATGCATGATATATATAATTAATAATATGCAAACAAAATGACATTATTTATATGTAGGTTTACCAAAACGTAACTTTAAAATATATGCGTAAACATACAGTTATCAAGAAACATCAACAAAAAACTCTGATGAACAGCTTGTTAGGCTCTTTTTATTTAAAAGATTTTGATACGTTCTTTGATAATTACAAATCTAAAAATAATTTGGCTAATGAAGCTTTAGTAACCTTAGAATATTTTATTCCAACATTAAATGAATTTTTTGATTTGTGTAATAATTTATCTGAAGAAATGGTTAGAGAAGCTAAAATCAGATGGTATAGTTATGCTAATATCTCTTCAAGTGGTGATTGTATTAGAGCGAATAGTATGTATTATAATGAGCCATCATTTAGTAACGTGTTGATTAACATGAGTGAGAAAGAGTTCAAAAACTATAATATATATGAAGGTGCTTGTTTTGGCAAGGTAATGTATTTATTCTATCAATAAATTGACATTCTACATGATTAATAATTGACGAATAACTTATATTATATAGGTTCTTATGTTGATTAATGTTATAATCGAAGGTTATTCATCTTTTGACCTTGCTCTTGTACAATGGTATAATTTTCGCTATAAAAATGATGAATATCGTTTATATAAATATGATTGTCCTTTATTACAAATTACAAATACGTACAATGTCATACCTGTAGAGTCAATCATAGAATTAATACAAGTAATTCAACGGGTTGAACGACAAAATTAATATTTTGTTAATATATACATGTTTTAATTTAACTTCAATAAAATTGACTTAGTTAAAAAAATATTATTAAAATACGCCGTTAATATATGGTATTGTTTAATGGTGTATAATGTGTTAAACAATACATTGTGTTAAAAAACGCGTATATTATCAGGTATGTGTTGATAAACTCTAGTAGATAGCATTTTTCAATGATATGTATCACGTTGATCATTGAATTAGTGTTGATCAACACGTATATTAGTGCAAACTAACACCTCCAAAACTTCCTGATGATGATTTAACGATCTTTAATTCTTTTTTAGATAGTGCGAGTGAAATTAGGAAAGTGAATGATGCAACAATTAATGCCTTTAGATAGAAAGCTGATAAGCCATCTGACTTCGCAATAAAAGATAACTCCAAACACATTACTAAATCATTAAAATAGTTTATAGATGTATCAATCAGTATAAAGGATAAGGATGGTAAAACTGTTATAGCTACTGGAAATTTTACTTGTATTGATAATAAAGAACCTGAACTAATATTATGTTTAGGTATGACATAGATTAAAAAAGTTCAAGATGTTCTTGACCTAAATAAAAATCAATTTTGAATGAAGTTACATGGGAAAACTTACATTATCCCAACTTTTAGCAAAGCTTTAGAAGTTGAAGATCCGCTCAAAGAGAAGCAAGATCAAACATCTACTAACTCTTCTAGTCTAACTAGTGAGAAGGACTTAAAAAAAATGCGTAAACTGTGTAAAGCTTGAAAAATGTCTTGCAAAGGCTGAAGAAATAGTCTATTTGGCCTTAAGTACTGGTAAATTTCTTGCTGATACATGTGAATCTTTATATAAGGGTAGTATTAGCTATTAAACCCTTAAGCTTTTCACTGTGATTAACTAGATTTTTAAGAAGAGATTCCACCCTAGCTTCTCGGAAAGTATCAGACAAATTATCAGAGAAAGAGACTATATCATTTTTGTTATTTTCAGGATAAC